AGGGCCTGGGTGGGGCTGGAGATGTAGCTCAGCGGTAGAATGCTTAGCACGCATCAAGCCCTGGGTTTGACCTCCAGAACTTCTTAAACTGGGAGTGTTAGTACACACCTGTAATCCCAGCCCTCTGGAGGTGGAGGCAGGAGGATCAGGAGTTCAAGGTCATCCTTGGCAACATAGAGAACTGGAGGCCATCCTGGGATACGTGAGATCCTGTCCTTAAAAAAGGCCTGGGGGCTGGGTGGGAAGACAGAATCTAAGGCCAGACTTGATATCTAAGCTTACTGAGGGACTCTGTGAGGCTGCCTGAGGCAGGAGGGGCACTGAGCATTCCATGCCACTGAATTGGCCAACAGGCCTGGCTTTCTGACAGACAGTGTGCCTGAGCAAATGCTGCATCAAAGGCACCAAGCAGGATGCTAAGCTACCTCAGGACACCCGTGGATCCTGAGCAGATCCCTGTTCCCACGGAGCTCGCTGTTGTGTGCAGGCATTGCACTGTGTGAGCGTGCATTCATGTGTGTGTGTGTGTGTGTGTGAGGGAGATGTCAGGAGTGGGTGGGTGACATCACAACATCTCTTGCAGGACAGTGCTGATGGCTGCTACCGTGGACTGAGCTCCACCTTTGGACCAGACTCTGATTTAAGGGTTTCACCTTGATAAACTTGTTCAATTCTCTCGCCTAGTCATCTAAAGGGGGCACCCCCAATTCTCCCAGAGGCCACTCAGATGAGAAGCAGTAGGGCTGGCCCTGGACCTGGGTTCTTTTCAGTAGTCACATGTATGTGTCCTGAATGGTACTGAGGCCATGGAGGAAACCAAGGACCCTGCTCCAGTGGCCAGCACTGGGGGACTCACAGAGTACCCACTCCCCCTGCATCATGTTCTCCTAGGAACCAGAAGGAGAGCTGGTTAGGATCCCACCTCCCAGTCAAAGCCAGTGCAGTTCCCAGGATGTCATAGTTACAGAAGCTCACAGCTGCTGTCTTGAGCTACTGCTGCTCACGAGTGTCATGAGTGCCAGCTCTGGGCCATGAGACCATGCAGTCCTGTCCTCACCTTCAGCCCTTGGTGGTATGTATGGTAGGGGATGCAGATCCTGAAGGACCTCCACTCCACATCTCTGAGGAACATTTCCCTGGTTGATTATGCTGGCCCATGAGCCATCCCTGAATGGCCTGCCACACCAGAAGGGACAGCTTAGCTGTAGATCTGGACCTAGAAATGGTCCCTCCCATTTCTTCCCCAGCTTCTGCCTCCACAGGTTACTAAAGGAGCTGACTGGTGATTGGACCTCTGCCTTTGTTTCCTTGGGGATACCTGCCCAACTGGGAAACTGAAACTCTGGCATTCTGGGTCTATGAGACCCTTCTTTCTACTCCTTGAAACTCCAGTGACCTCATGAGGGTGACCACCTACCGGAGGCACATGTCTGTTCTAGAGGTGAGATCAACCTGATCTCAGGCTTCTCTTTCATCGGGGTGGCATCTGAGGAGACCCTGCTGACCCGCTGACGCTGTCCATGAAAGTCTTACAGTCTCACCTGGAAGCTGGTCCCACACACTTGTTTCAGACATGAGTAACTGACACTGGAAAGGGGGCGGGGTGACTGCCACTCCACGGCAACCTAGACAGCTGGCAGCACTTGGGGCATGGAGGCACGGGGAATCAGGAGTTCAAGACTGGCCTTGGCTACTTTTTGAGTTGGAGGCCAGCTTGGACTGCATGAGATCTGGTCTCAAAAACCAAACCAAATAAAAAGCAGGCCTGCATCTTAGACTCCTGAGCTCAGACAGTAGTGGCATCTGCTGCCTGCTGTCTCCTGGCCCTGTCCCTTCTCTCTCTTGGATTGGTTGAACTCTCCAGCAAAGGGTCAAGTTCACGCTGAGGGTACATTCGCTCTTGTGCCACTGCCAAGCCTGGATCCTAGGGCTAGTGATACAGGGGCTGGGATATTTAGTGTAAACTGAGGATGAGGTCAGGCACATAGGAATGAGGCTGGATATGGCCTGAACCAGAGGTCAAAAGTACAGAAAGAATAAGGGCTGTCCAGCCCATCAGTGGGCCTGGAGGCTTGGCAGTGTGGCTAGGGAGATCTTAAGGGGGCTCCAGTGGGGTGGGCAGAAGGAGAAGATGGTATTGGCAACTTCTGTTCTCATTCTTCTCCTGCCTTGTGGAACACAATGCCTTGGGGACCCACTGAGGTCACTTAGGTAAAGGCAACCAGCCAGGAACAAGCCCTCAGGAGTCCTGGCTCAGCTCTATATGATGCACCCTTCCAGACTAGCCATGGCCTCTGCCCCAGCCCCCTGTGGGTCCTGCAAGGCAGGAGCCTCCTGTAGCGAGAAGTCAAAACTTGGGCTATATGGTCAGGATGGCTGATCCTGGCTGCTTGTGGAGAGATGTCTGTATCCAACCATGCTCTCAGGAAGAGAGCCAGGCCCAGGGGCTCTATGTCTGTTTGTCCCTTCTATGTGACCTTGAGTATTCTGAACCTCATTCAAAAGTTTTTCCTGGTGGTTGTGTTGTCTCAGCTTCTCCAGAGCTGATAGTGCTCCCTCTACAGCCTCCACCCTTCAGGGGTACCCAAGGCTCCTTAGAATCCTGCCTGCCCATATAGGAGTCTATGCCGCTGCCCCCCACCCCATGAGCCTGAACAACCCTCCCTGGGGTTTCGGAGGGTTCTGCCTTCATGTTCTGGACAGGGAGCCTAGGCTTTCCCACTCTGGTGGCCTTGGCCTCTCCAGCTATCTGGAGCAGTGCTCCCTACCCACAGGTCCATTAAGATGTGCTTTTGAAGCCGGGCGGTGGTGGCGCACGCCTTTAATCCCAGCACTCGGGAGGCAGAGCCAGGCGGATCTCTATGAATTCGAGGCCAGCCTGGTCTACAGAGCAAGATCCAGGACAGGCACCAAAACTACACAGAGAAACCCTGTTTGGAAAAACAAAACAAACAAACAAAAAGATGTGCTTTTGAGCTTTTGGGGCTGGGGGTTGAGACCGTTTCTAACCTGTTTCCAGGCAATTGAAGCTGCTGCTGGTGGAGCTCGCTCTGAGTTGCATGCTCCTTCCTGAGGCTGAGCTGCCATTGCTCAACTGCTCTGGACCACAGGCCTTGATTCCACCACTTAGAACAGCAAGAACAGCCACTCTTTCATCACAGAGGTCCCATCTCCACGCACAGTGCCATGCAACGGGAGACAGACAAGAATGCAAATGAAGCTAATCGGGGATGGGAAGAAGGCAGGCTTGTCAGTGTAGTACAGTGGTTCTCAACCTGTGGGTCAAGACCCCTTTCACCGGGGCCTCCTTAGACTATTGGAAAACGCAGCTGTTTGCATTATGATTCCCAACAGTAGCAAACATTACAGTTATGAAGTAGCAACAAAAGTAATTTTATGGTTGGGGGTCACCACAGCACGAGGAACTGTATTAAAGGGTCGCAGCATTAGGAAGGTTGAGGACCACTGGTGTAATAAGATGACTTTTGGGCTGTCCAGGATGCTCAGATCTTACCTTGGCTGTGCAGCCCTGGGCAAGTTCTGAGCCTGCGCCTCACTCATTTCTCCTCCTGGGTAGCAGGACATTATCTACACAGTATTTCCCACCAGAGGAGGAGGCCTACGGAATTCACTCTGCAGAGGCAATGTTTAGGATTGGTTAGGGACCAGCTGTGCACAGATATGAAGTTGTGTGCAAGGGCAAAGACCCTGTGGCAGAAAGGTTGACCTTCTGGGGCACCGGTGGGAGGGGTTGGGAAAGGCCACAGTGGTTGGAGAAATGAGAGGAAGGAGAGGAAGTCAGAGACTTGGGGGCTACCAGGCAGCCTAGTGAGGAAGTCACCGTCACAGTTCAAATGCTGAACTAAGACCAGCCGGCACTGGTGTGGGTGTGGATGTGGGCAGAGATGAAATCTAATGTGCCTCTGCAGGGCTGGCTTCTAAGGAGCCAGGAGGAGGTGGCCATTGAAGGGCTGGAGCCCCATCACCAGGCTGGCCTTGAGCCAAGCTCATAAACCCAGCCTGGAACTCTGGCCAATATGAATAGCAGGAGAAGTGCCTCCCCACTGTTCCAGAAGCTTCTTAACCCACAAGGGCCTTGAAGGGAGAGGCAGAGATGCCCAGAGGGGAGCTTTTGAGGGATGCTATTTTGCATCTTAATTGCATGCTAAGCAGGCCCGTGGGCAGGGCCAGCTGCAGAACATTAGTAGCCACCAAACTGTGGTGACTCAGGCCATGGGGCCTTAAAATATTCATGTTCCTCTGCCTGTAGAATTCAGAGCCTGTGAGGGAGGATGCAGCACTAGGAAGTGGAAATAGAGACCTGTTGGAAGCAGCTGGGTAGAAGGTGGGAAGGGTGGATGAGGTCCTGAGGCCTCATTCTGTTCCCTGGTTCCATACCATCGCAGCTCCGTGTGGATACTACTGTCTTCCTGGAAGGGCTTTGCCACTGGGGCCCAGAGCCTGCTGCCTGGGGCTCCTGTTCCTTCTGGGTCCATGTGAGGACAGAATCTAGTTTCTAGTTAGGGCACAGGAGTGTGGGAGTCCTAGAAGTGTTTCCTGAGATGGGGCAGGTGCCGACACAGTGGCTGAGCAATCCGGAAGGCAATGGGGTTGTGTCGGAGCCACCCCCCTCAGCCAGTTCTTGGAAGAAAGAATTGAAAGAAATGGGCCGTATGCCTGCTGCTCAGAACACCATGAAGCTTACTGGAGGTAGCTCTTAACCCCGCACCCGCCCAGTCCCAACTTCTGGGTGTTCCAAGTAGATATAGCAGTTATCAGCGCCCTCTATGGGACACGTGCTCCTCTGACCCAGGGGAAGCTGTCTGGGACCCCGAAGCTCCAGGATACAGAAAGGGCTGGGACTGAGGAAGAGAGCCAGGGAAGTGGGGCTGTGTGGTCTCCCCCTACCCACAGATAACATCTGGGGGTGCAGTGCAGGACTTAACTGATGAGTGACTCAGATCCGGGGACTTTTTCACAAGGTGAGAGGGAGTCGATATTGTTTCCAGCTGCTTGCGCTGTCTGCTGAGCCGACTGGCTGGGGATGCCTAAGCAGAGGTGCCTGGGAGAGCTCTCGGGAAGGCAGATCTTGGGAAGAACTTCCTGGGGGACTGCCTGAGGACTGAGGCAGGGAGGACTGTCACAGGAGGAGTGAGCCAGGATACGCTGCTCCTCCCACATGGAGAATGGCAAGTTTGGGAAAGGAGCTGGAGCAGGGCTAGGGCAGTTCCGCTCTGCTCAGAGATTCAGCTAAGTGGTGTGGCTGGAGTGGCAGAGGGGCCACGACGGCTCTAGAAACCTTAAGAAGCCCCGAGGGGGACAGGAGTGGGTGGTTAGGTGGAGCACTAGTGAGCGAGGGCTTGGAAGGGAGCAGGGGCCAGGGGAGTCTGACTTCTTCACGAAGGACGCGGCCTTCCCTCTCTACCTTCCTCCTTGTCGCGTTTTCATTGTTTCTTGTAGGTACCACCTTTTCCAGGCAAGAAAGGCGGCCATGAATCCGTCCATAGCGGTCTAGATGCCACTAGAATCCCTGGATCTTACTGGCTCTTGCTAAGAGCAACTGAAGCCTCAGAATCCAACAAAGCCCCAGCCTAGAGCGGGAGCAGTGAGGAGTGTGAGGCAGAGGGCGGAGCCTTGAAGCACCCCTCCCCCATAGCTTCTTCACTATTCGCCCCAGAAGCGAGTCAGGGTACTTAGTGTTTAAGGAGGAGGGCTTGGACAGGTTACATAAGTTTCACTTCCACTCTGGGCCCCTTAACTGCTCATTGTGCGGCACAGGCAAGCACGGTGATTTCTTTGGTTCCCTCACCTGCAAACTGTGAGTAATGATCGGACTGGTTACCTAACCCTGCAGAAGGAACTCCTCAACGCTCAGCAGCTGAAAATCACACACAGTGGTCACCTTAATTCCTGGGGGCTGGGGTTCGGGCCCAACTCAGGCAAGCCCCTGCTGGACTCTCACCCAGCTGCTGCCTCAGTAGAAGGCCACACGGGAGAAGAGTCCACAGGACTCAGTTTCTCAAAGGCTGTGAGGTGGGTCTCAGGTCCCTGCTGCGTCTGGCCAGGACTTCCCTCAGTTTCTGGTATGATGTGGATGCTGCAGCTAGCTTTATCAGAACAAGAGCGGGAAGAGTCAGCAAGGTGGGGGTGAGGGAGGGGAGGGGGAGGGGGGAGAAGGAGGGAGGGAGGGAGAGAGAGAGAGAGAGAGAGAGAGAGAGAGAGAGAGAGAGAGAGAGAGACTCTCACATGTACACATGCAAGTAGGACAGACATTGTTGTCTCTTAATCTAGTCATGGAACTGCCCTCTTCTCCTTATCAGACACAAGCCATCATGCCGAGTCCCTCAGAGGGTCCAGGAGAGGACCGAAGGACATGAGGACCCCTGGCAACCAGAATACAGTGCTATTGGTTTTTTAGGAAGCTGCTAAAAATTGCATGAGGGCTTAGCCTGGAGCTGGTGCCTAGTACCTGCTCAGTACACTGATGTTCTTGTGATACAGCCAGGCTGGACCAAGACATCATAGAAACGAAGGCTTCTCTCCAGGTCTACCTGTTGGCTCAACACCCCTGGGAGAGTCAGATGCCAAATCTAGTCCACCACCTCCCACTCCCTTGAACCCCACTGAACATCACCTTTTTTCTTTCACCCTAGACAGGTCTACAGCGTTTTGAAGCTTACAGATTTCTTAGAAATGACAACGAAGGGTATGTACGTATGTATATATGTATTATCTGGGAAGAAAAATTGAGAAGTTTACCTCTGTAGCAAATAAACAGAGCTGTGATGACTGGTGTTTCAGGATTGACGCAGCTCTTTTATGTACTTTTGACAGTTTCAGCTTGTTCCTGCCAGCTACAAGGTTTCTCTCCCTCCAGAAAAATTGGGGGAAGGAGTCACGTGATACCTTCCTACACAGAGTGCATGGCTCACGTGAAAGATGAGGAGATTATGATTCAGGGTAGCTAGGGCTCTGGTCCAAGGTCACAAAAATTGTGGAACCGGGATGTGAGAGACTGCACACAATCTTTGTAGCTCATTTACTCCTTCATCCACTCATTAGAGACACAGCTTTCAGTCCCTGTGAGGGGCACTCTCTGAATGCAGGTACTGGGGTCCACTGAACGAGCCCTTGGATCAGCCCTAAAGAGCTTTAACATCCTTCTCCTCCAGATTGGCAGTATCTTTAAATTAAAGTCCACTTTACCCGAGTCTCTTCTCCCCTTCCTGCTTCTGCTGCTAGGCATGAGGCTGTATCTAGGGAGGGTTCTGGAGTCATTGCTTTGAGTGGAAGGTGACAGAAATGACCCAAGATTCCAGGAGAGAGGGAGCTGATGAGATACAGCAGTTGGGAAGCAGGTGGCTAAACATGAACTGCCATGAAAAATGGGGACCAACGTTTATGGACCGAGGCAGTGCTTGACCCTTCCCCCGGGGTCCTTCTCTTTCCGGCTAGCACCCAGCCTCTACCCTCCATGGCCCTTCAGGAGTTAAACCCAGGCTGCTGCCTTCCTGCCCAGTGAGCCAGGTGATGGGATTGTGCTTAATGGTAATTTGCAAGAGTTTGGTCAACTAGAAATACATAAGGAGATGGAAATATGAAAATGCCCTGGGAGTGTGTACAATTGATATATTGTGGCTCAGCCAGCTGTTAACTCCACCGCAGGAGAGATGGCAGGAAGAATTGCAACCAGCCTCGCATTTGTGGTCTAAAGCTTTGCACTGGAGAAGTTGAGGGAGTCAGCTGTGTCTCCAGGAATAACCCACACTGCACTGCCCAGGCAATTCTTCAGCTCAGGACACTCACTGATGTTCCAGGCACTCTGTTAGGCACTGAACATGGGTGCCTGAGTCTCCATCCTAGAACATGAGTACAGTCCATGAGTACTCAAGTCTGGGAGGAGACATACTGGGAAGGAAATAAGGCATTAATGGGGTTCAGAGAAAGAGAGAGAGGGAGGGAGGGAAGGAGAAAGAGAAAGAGAGAGAGAGAGAGAGAGAGAGAGAGAGAGAGAGAGAGAGAGAGAGAGAGAGGGAGGCTTGGAAGAGGAGAGCTTAGGGGATTCTAGATGAATACTTGATGCCTTAACTAATTCTAAGTGGCTTGTAAGTGTAGCCTGGCCACATCTCGTTCCAGTTACTAGCTGTGCATCTTTGGGGAAATGACCTAACCATTCTGAGCTTCAGATGTCTCACCCACAAAGGGAGACTAACCATCTCTGCCACAGAACTGTGTGAGGTAACGTGCATCCCTGTCAGCTCTAAAATGGTCTATGCGTGTGGAATGTTCTGACTGCAGTAGAAACAAGCAGCATCCACTCCCTTTACCTTTCCTATGTCAAATTAGCTTCAAACTTCTTTGTGACTCAAGGGCACCTCACTCATGGTTTGCCATTCAGGGCCAAACAGGGGGGAGACTGTGGCCCTGGTGGACAGGGGCTGAAATATTTGAATAGGACTTGGTTGAAGCTTAGAAATGTTAACAGGAAGTAGACACGGTGTGACTACTTAGAGGTTGTGTGCCAATGAGTGAGTTCTTCTGAAGAGACTCAGAAGCCACTGCACGGGGCCTGGCCTCAACAGGTATTGGGGGTTTAAATGAGAACGGCCCCCACAGGCACATATGTTTGAATACTTGGTCTCCAGTTGGTGGAATTGTTTGGGAAGGATTAGGAGGTGTGGTTGCATTGGAGGAGGTGTGTTACTGGGGGCAGGCTTTGAGGTTTCAAAAGACTCATGCCATTCTCCATGTGCTCTCTGCCTCCCAGGTGTGGCTCAAGATGTGAGCGCTCAGCTGCTGCTCCAGATGCCTGCCATCTGTTATCTTGGTTCTGCTGCCATGGACTTTGATCCTCTGAAACTGCAAACTCCAAATAAACTTTTTTTAAAAAGTAAGTTTTCTTGGGCATAGTGTCTTATCACAGTAATAGAAAGTAACAAATGCAGCAGGCTTCAGGGTTGTCTTGCTTCATTCTCCCCCAAGGACCCCCCATGCAGTCCCAGTCAGAGGGGCTTTTGGTTCTGATTCTGATATTCCAGAACAGAAACCCATCCAGAGAAGGACCCTGGCTCTTGGCCCTGTTCCTCAGGGTGCGTCCCTCTTGGCAAGGTTCCTCAAAACTCTTCCTTGTAGGTGGCCCTTCCAGTGCTTCCTTCCTGTGCTGGGACCTTGCTCTCTCAGGCGCCTGGCACCTGGCCTTGATGTGCTCAGGAGGGGCTGCCTCAGGCTGCAGCCCCAAGTGGTTTCTGTCCTGGAAACCCTGGCTGCTTTCTCTCCTACAGGGAGGGCCCTGGGACTGTAGGGGATTCCTCTGGGTTCTTTTTACAAAGCTTCAGCAAACAAGTAAAGCTGCTTGCAAACTCTTTCTACTCTGATGAGTCTCATTGGCTGCCCTACCTCTTGGTGTCTCTGGGCCTCTTGTACTAAGGTCCCCACAGAGGGCTGGGCCCCTGGCCCAAGCCATCCTTCCAGCCTAACCCATTACCACTGATGGACCACCACCACCAGCAGGCTGCGACATACAAGGATAAAAGCTGTTCTCAGATGCGTCCTGTTCTCCATAGTTACACAATGGGAGCAGACCCCTTCCTCTCGGTGGCATGCTCTCAAGCCTGGCTCTCCAATTTGGTACCCTACCACCCTAAAGTTTCTAGAGAATACTGATGCCTGCTCCACTCTGGATTGACAGAATCAGAATTTCAGAGGGGCATCGGGAGGTAAAGTTCTCCAGGTAATTCTAAGAAGTGTTGAGGGCCGTGAGCCCTTGCTTCAGAGAAAGAATACTGCTCAGCTCTGCCTCCTCGGTTGCCCCAGCCCTTACATTTCCTCCTCGTGAGGCTCAGTTTTCCAGCTTCTCTTCAATCTTGTCACCGTGCACTTTGCATCCCTCAGCTGGTCAACATCACTCGAGAAATATGACTTCTCCACTGAACTGGGCTGTCTAGGACAAGAAGACCAGCCCTCCTTTGCTCGGGATGCTATTCCTCTAGGAATATGATTATGAGTCAAACAAGCCCTTTCTATTCACGGTCCTCATACTTAAGGCGAGCCAGCCTCTCTCTCCATTTTTCTCCTTTGCTTCCAGTAACCTTTGAAGGCCCATTTAAGTAGATTGAAAAGTTACTTCAATGGACACATTCATTAGGTTCCAGCTGGACTCTGGGCAAGGTTCTGCATCATTGCTGACTTCTGTCTCAACAGGTCTGTCCTGAGGTTGTCTGCTCTCATCATCTCTGCTTTGGAATGTTTATAATAGACATCTAACTCCCAATCACTGACACCTGTTCCTCTTAAATGTAAATATCAGATTCCATTAAAAGAGCATTAGCATGGGGCACCTGTAATTAATTTTCTTGGGAGAATGAATGGTTCAGAAGGAATGCAACCGAGCAGGGCCTCACACATGGCTCAGTTCATTTATCCTAATTGATTTATATAAGAATCGTGGGGGCATTGGGACTTGCACCCACTGACTGAGGGTGGGGGTGCCACGTGGGCCCCTGGAGTTGGGGAAGGCAGCAAGATGGATAGCTGGAGCTGAGGCCAGCGGGCACTGATCACAAACAACATAATGGGCCAGCCTCGGAGGTGGGCCGGCCCTGGAAGCTTTTAGAGGCTCTCAGCAGCCCTTGTAGTGCACCCAGATTACACACTGAGCTATTTCACATCATTAAACCCTCCTATCTCATCCCTGGGTACCACACATGCTCCCAGCATCAGGCTGGGCTTCAAAGCAGGTGTAGCCACTGCAGCAAGCTGACCCTGGGATGCTGAGTCCCATTGGCAGTTGTTTGTTTACTTGCCGGCCTCACAGACATGAGAGGACTCAACATCTGCTTAGCCTGTCTGTTTGGGTTCCTGCTGTTGTTGGACCGGAGGCTGGGGGTGGGTATCACTGGTCTCTTAGACCCCTCAGAGACTCCAGTGCCACAGTCTCCCTCCCTCTGCTCTGGCCTCAAAACCACACTTCCTCATCTGCCTGCCATCCCTGGGCACTAGGAATGGTCCCCCCAGTGCTGGACCAGCCCGGCTATGTTTGACCCTGCATTCTTCTCTTGAAGCAGGAACTAGGTACCAAGAAAGCAAAACAGAGGATCAGGGACAGACTCTGGACCTGTGACACTATTTCTGGCCTCTTGGATTTCTGATTTCTACTCAGTGCTGTAGAACAATGATGATCCTCTCTAGCCCTCCCCCCCCCTCCCCCACTTCTTCAGCAGGATGTCTCACGTAGCCTGGATTGGCTTTGAAGTTACTATGTAGTTAAGGATGACCTAGAACTTCTGATCCTCCTGCCTCTTCTTTCTAAGTGCTGGGATTACAGGTGTGTGCTACCACACCTGGTTTATGTGAGACTGGGGATAACCCAGGTTTTTCTGTATCCTAGGCCAACACTTTACCAACTGAGTCTTATCTCCAGCCCTCATCTGCTCATCTCCTGAATTCCAGTCTGAGGTTTTCTCTGATGTCCATGCTTCTCCCTCTGAAATCCCACCATCTGGCACCTATACCTTACCTCCTCTGCCTCCAGGCTCCAGCACAGTCAGGCCTCCATTTTTCCAGCCTTCATCATGCCCACCTCCTCTCTGAACCTGTCTCTGGCTGGCTGGAGCTGGCTGGAGCTGGCTGGAGCTGGCTGGAGCTGGCTGGAGTCTGGCCTGAAGTTCCCACACAGGCCCCTGTCTCACTCCCTCAGTGGTATGCTGCTGTCCTCCACAGGTTTCCTAGCTGCTCCACCAGGACCTGGCTGGAAACAGTCCTCATCTGGTCTACCCATCCCATCTGTCCAGAGCACTCACTCACTCAGTTCTGATCCAGCTCTTGCAAGCTGTGTCTCTGTCCTCAGGGCTGAAACCTGTTCCCATGTCCCTGGCAAAAGCTTATGAACCAAAGAAGTCGTGATGTTTCCCATCTTCCAGGTGTGGCAGACTCTTGGGTGGTGCATTAAGGACACCACTCTGGGAATCTGGAAACACCACATTCTGGTTTTGTTCCTCTTCTGTCTGTCATGGTCTTAACTTCTAGGAAGGCTACAGACTGAAGCATATCTTCAGGCTCCTTAGCTTGTGCCTGTGTGGCCTTGGGTAACTCCCTTCCTTCCTTTCTCTGAGTTTCCAGATTCCTTATCTGAGATGAGGGGTTTGAGGATAATGATTCCCAGGGGTCCTTTTACCTTTGAAATAAAATGGAAAACAAGAGGCCCTGAAGATAAGGGGGATTATTATGGTGGCCAAATCAAGCTATTCCTCTTCTCCCCTCTGCCCGAGGCTGCCACAGCATGCAGGGTTTGGCACTAGAGTCACAGAAAACTCTCAGCACAAGGGCCCTGGGCTCTCACCTTTGGAAAATGGTGCAATTTAATGGTAATGCAATTACAGATGTGCTGAGATTGAAAAGGCCCATCTTATCTCAAACTCATCTTCCCCACCAAGTATCAGGGCAGGTGCTGATCCCTAATAGCTGCTGAAATGAATTCACCAGGCAGCTGGGGGCTCCTGGAGAGGAGAGCTGTGTGCAGAGAGAGGAGGGAAGAGGGAGGCAGCTGGAAGGAAGGAGGAAGAAAGCAGGGAGAGTGAGAGAGCGAGAGAGAGTGAGAGAGCGAGAGAGAGTGAGAGAGAGAGAGAGAGAGAGAGAGCGAGAGCGAGAGAGAGAGCGAGAGCGAGAGAGAGAGAGAGAGAGCGAGAGAGAGAGAGAGAGAGAGAGAGAGAGAGAGAGAGAGAGAGAGAGAGAGAGAGAGCGAGAGAGAGAGGGGGGGGGGAACAGAAAGCAGAAAGCAGGGGCCAGCAAGGAATGGCTGGATGGGGGGGCAGGAAACAGAGGTAATTTTATTTTTAAAATGTCAAAAAAGGGGATGATGGCGGAGGATGGAGGAACGAGGAAACTGGAAAGCAAAGAGGAAGGGAGAAAAAACAGGGAGAGAAGGAGGGAGCTAGTTAGAGGAGGGAAGGGATTAGAAAGGAGGGAAAAAGTAGTGGGAGAGGAAAGAGGGAAAAGACGAGGGGAGCTTGGAGACAGATGGAAGGGAGGAAGGAGAGGAAGAGCTGAGGTAGGCAGGGGTACGTTAGAGAGATGGAGACCGTGGGAGGATAGTCCGGGGGAGATAGCAGGAGAGGATGGGAAGGCGCGATGAAGAGAGAAGATTAAGGCAAAAGAGGAGAGGGAGAGAGGAAGGAAGGTGGCTTGAAGACAGCTTACTGTGCAAGCACAGAAACTCAAGTTTGGATCTCTTGAACCCATGTAGAAGCCAGGTGCTGTGTGTGTGTGTGTGTGTGTGTGTGTGTGTGTGTGTGTGTGTGTGTGTGTGTGTTATGTGATTCCAGTGATGGGAAGTAGAAACAGGAAGATTCCCCAGGTTCACTGGCCAGCTAGTCTAGTCAATGGTGAGTCCAGTGAGGAGAGACCCTGCCTCAAAAAAATAAGGTGGACAGCAATAAAGGAAGAAATCCCATGTCTACCCCTGGCCTACTCCTGGAGAGAGAGAGAGAGAGAGAGAGAGAGAGAGAGAGAGAGAGAGAGAGAGAGAGAGAGAGAGAGAGAGAGAGGAAGGGGGAAGGAAAGAATGAGAGAGACAGGAAGGGAGAGACAGAGCCCTCTATGGAGGTTAGAGGCGAGTAGGGGAAGGAAAGAGGGAGGGAACAACAGAAGAGGGGATGAGGAAGGAGAAGCCAGGCAAAGAAGTCAGGCAAGGGATGCAGAGTGGGTAGGGGGCAGGGGCTGGTGGGAAGTGGATGATGCTGGGGAAAGGGAGAGGCAGGAGGGGAGGGGAGGGAGAAAGAGGTGGGAAGGGGACCAGGAGAGAAGGGGGCTGGAGGGAGTGAGGAAGAGGGAGAGAGAGAAATATTGGGGAAGAGGAAGGTCTTCATTTCTGAAATCTCGTCTTTTCAGGCCCGTCCACTTGAGGAAGAGACCAAGAAGAGAAAAAGGAGAAGAAATCTTGAGTTGGGCAGTCGTGATGAGCTTTCTGGGACGAAGCAAGCATGAGAGGAGGCGCTTGGAAAATCTGACTGAGAGCTAAGAAGAGGTAGGGAGTCCTTGAGAGAAGACCTGCAAGGATCTAAGACCCAGAAATAGGCCCAGCTCCCCAACCCCTGGCCGCTGTAGCTTCAGGACAGCCGACAGGGAGGAGCCTGGGGCCGGTGCCTCCAGCAACAGCACCGCAGACAGCGCCCTTCAGCGCCCCTGACTTCAGCACCACGGACAGCACACCCCGCTGGGGTCGGGGCCTCAGCCCAGCCCCGCCCTGGAAATAGCTCTTTGGGGCAGTTGGAATGCAGGCCTGCGAGCCCGCTGAATAGATCAATTATTTTTCAGAACATGGTTTTGATCCCGATGTTACCTCTCAGGATCACTGAGTGGAAAGGGCTCGCGGAGAAAATGGCATTTTTTATCACCCTGGCAAAATGCTCCTGCGCTGATGAGATGGGGCGCCCGGCGAGCGCGCGCGCGCACATGTGGTACATAACTAACCAGAAGCATAATCTTCTAAATTGAAAGCCATAATGTTTGCTGTTGGAGCTAAATATTAACAGGGCGTTGTCTCCCCCAACGACCCTCGGGAGGCAGCTGGCTTAGCGGGAGGCTGGCGTCATATTCAAGCAACTTGATTAAATTCCTTTCTGCCATCAGAATTAAGAAATGAATAGTTTTATGAGAGTCATGCCACAGAGGACAGGAAAATGAAATGTTCAGGAGAGAGAGCAGGCGGGTTGCCTGCTCTGTGTTCCTGGTGGGAGTGCTGTCAATCTACCTAGAAGGGGTGGGCTCAGGACTGGATAGATCTTTAAATGATAGGCAATCTTGACTCTTAGGGTCATCCTGGTACATATCTCCTCTCTGGTCATCATAAGACACACCATGGAGCCACCTCAGGAGATCTCTCAGTTGTTCACTGGAGAGGCAGCAAAATGTGTAGCTGACGTCATAGCCTCTGGAGCTACAATCACTGGATTCAAATCCCGTCGCTAACTCTCCCTAGCTGTGTGATCTTAGGCAAAGTATCTAACTAACCTTTCTGTGCCAAAGCTTTTTCTAGTTACGAAATGAATTTATTCCAGTACTTACCCTGCAGAGTGTCTGTGAGGATTTATCCAGTCCCAAGACCCTTAGGACTGGTTTAACTGTGTAGAGTATATACACACACACTACGGTTATCATTCGTGCTATAGTTAGGTCGAACTATATAAAATTGCTGTTTGGTAGGTAAAAACAAATTGTGTTGCCAGCAACGTAATGTAATATATGCATAAGCTTGGTGCTATTTGTGCAGCAAGATTTTTATCTGCCGTGGCCACTCTTTCCCACCGATATGATTCTTCTGCTCTCCGAAAGGATGAAAGCACAATTTCTACATCTGTAAACTGGGTCTGGCCACCACTTTACAGATTAGTGAGCACATTAAGAAAACTTCAAATTCCGATAAAGCTGACTGAGCAGGAAAGGTGGGAGGGAGCCGCTGGAAAGCAGCTCCTGAAATATACTTTGTACTGGAAAAGAAACACTCACAGGGGAAATGAGAGACAATGAAGGATTTTTTTTTTAATTAGAAAAATATCCTAATAAAGCCAAATAGGGTGGTGCATTCCTATAACCCCAGCATTCAGGAGCCTGAGGCAGGAGGACCAGGAGTTTAAGGCTAGCTCGGGCTACTGAGCAAGACCCAGTCACAAACAACATATATACATACCGACAGACAAATGAAGTTGATCTCGGGCTCGGCAAGTTTTCTCTTGGAAGAGGAACACACGAAGAACAATTGTTGATGAGCCACCTTACCAGGTTAGCTGTCGTGTTGCAGTGTTAAATCTGCCTAAAGCTCCCAAGAATCCTATTAGAAGACCGGATAATATGGCTCAGTAGTAGAGTGCTCACCTAACACAGGTGAAGCCCCGGTCCCCAGCACAAAACCAGTTGTGATGGTACCAATCTGTAATCCTACCACTTGGCAGGTGGAGGCAGGAGGATCTAGAATTCAAGGTTATCTCTGGTTACATAGTGAGACTGAAGCCAGCCTGGGCTACATGAGACCCTGTCTATAAATAAAATGAATCCCGGGAGGTGAACCAGGAATCTTGGGTTACAGATGAAGAAACTGAGGTTCAGGAAGGTTGACTGACTTGTTGAGATGCAGCTGGCGAGGCAGAGCACGAAGTTAAACTGCTGCCTTGCCCTGGAGAAAGAGGTCGGGTTGGAGTGTATGTTTGGTGAGAGTCCTGACTGTGCTCATCCATCCTTCATCCTTCCTCCCCACCATCTCCCCGACGAGTCCCCACGCGGGCCTGTCCTTCATCTTGTAAAGTCATAAAAACACGAGACTGAGGCAACAGCCCTGCTGAGTCTAGATTTTTACAAACTCTGTCCTAGGAAGAGCTGCTTTAAATGCCTGGCCTCGCATTTCTGGGGCGGCTGCTCCTATAAATAAGATGCTCGACATAGTAAACAGTCCAGAAAATAGGAGAAGGGCGTGGGCATGAGAAACTGAGTGGGCTGGTGGGAGGGGAGAGTGAAGGAACATCTGCCAGAGACAACGTTTGTTCTACAAAAGAGACAGTCACAGGAGGATGGGAGCAAACGCATGAAATTCTATTTTCTTCTTTCTTATGTTGAGTCCATTTGAGGACCAGAGAGAGGCCTCAGAGAATTCTGCTCTGAGCATTAACAACCCAGTGAGCCTGACAGGGACGGTGGAGTCCATTTCTCACAAGAGGGCGGGGGAAGTCAGGAAAGGACAGGTGCCCTGCAGAGCTTCTGTTTAAGGGGACACAGTGGGGGAACCAGCTTTCCTGAGGTTCTAGCAGGGACACAGCCTTGTGGGAAGTACTCACGGGTCACAGGGGCAGTGGAGGTGATGGGGCATGGTAACAGTGGGGTCACAGTGGCAGTGGTAGTTAAGTTAGCTGAGAGTGGACTGGGGAGGTGGCCCTGTCAGTAAAGTGCCTGTAGAAAAAGCCTGAAGACCCGAGGACCCGAAGACCATAAGTGCCTGTGTGAAAACAGGATGTGGTGGCATGCATTCATAACCCTAGGGCTGCAGGGGCAGAGATGGGCAGATGCCCAGAGTTCACTGGCCAGCTGGTCTAGTCAGTGGGGTGAGTGCCAGGCTCAGTGAGAGACCCTGTCTCAAAAAGCTAGATGAAGTGTCACAGAGGAAGACCCTAAGTTGACCTTTGTCTTCCAACTGTGTAAACATGTAAGTACACACACACACACACATACACACATACACACACACACAGGTACACACATACATCACATGCACACATATCACACATGCACACACACACATAAACACACACAGGTACACACATACATCACATGCACATATATCACACACACACACATAAACACACACAGGTACACACATACATCACATGCACACATATCACACATGCACACACACACAGGTACACACATGCATCACATGCACATATCACACACACACACAGGTACACACATACATTACATGCACACATATCACACATGCACACACACATGCACACACACAGGTACACACATACATCACATGCACATATATCACACACGAGCACACACACACACACACATCATGTGCACACACAGCTAAGGGTGCACCACTGTCCAGGACAGCTCATAGCTCTGCAGTGACAGGCCGTGAGACAGAGGAGGGCTTGACTGTGTTTGTCAGCAGGTTCTGTAACTGGAAAAAGCTAGCTTCCTGGTGAGCTGTCTTCTTGTGTCCTCACACTGGGGTCACTTTTATAAGGCTATTCACCTCTCAGAGACTCAGCCTCCAAAATACTGTCACGCTGGAGACTGCTCCAAAATAAGAATTTGGGAACATAAACGGATATCAGTGAGAGCTGCTTTTGTTGGATGTCAGGTCATCCGGGCACTGAGTGGTCACCAAGGATGTGGATGATCTAGCTTAGCATGGCAGGTCTCAGCTGAGCCACCCATGTGTGTACTGGGCTTGGATGGATTCCAATAGCCTCCACACATCTGGTGGCTGAGCTTCCAGCCAGGGCGGGAAGGGTGATGGACCACACTCACATCCCATCCTCCACCAGGCTGGCTCCAGCTCCGTCACGTGGGAGTTGGCAGAACTTGAGGACAACATGAAGTAGCTCTCAGGCAGCACACAATTCAAGCCTCTGTTGGTGACGGGTATCTGAGAGCGTCCCATTGGTTAAGGCGAATCATGTAGCTAAGCCCACATCGGTGTGTAAGTGGCTTAGGTTGGCGGGAGCAGAGGGGCAGTGCATGCCAACCCATCTGTTACTTTTCTCTGTATTGGCATGCACACCTGTGGCGTGGGTTGTATAGTTCAAAAGGGAGGCCTTGGAAGACCATCTCTACACGTTCAGAACTGGAAGGTCTAGCCTAGGACTCTGAACTATTCCTAAACACCCAGAAGGAGCAACCTCAATTCCCCTGCCTGGGATGAAACTCGATTAAGACAGTGCTTATGGGCTGTTTTTTGCAAGTGGTAAAGACGTAGGCTTTCTAGTTGTACCCTGCTGCCCCAGCAGGGATGTGAGTCCTATATTCATTTCTTACCAGAAATTATCCACTTCGTGGTAAAACCTGGGCCTCCGGTGCAATTTAGCTCCATTCCCTGCCTACTGTGGGAGCGGCCTGGCTCAACACAAAAGCCGAGAAGTGCAAAATCACTTTAATATTGGCTGGAGACAGCGTAATTAGGAAGGTAAATCTGCTGAGGGAAAGAATTGTATTATGCAAATGTGATTAGCAGTGACTTTCTGGTTCTTTGTGGCTGGAGGGTTCTGCACTTTGGATGAATGTGGTGCTGGTCGCTGGTGTTCTGGGTTCTTCATAGGTGCAGGCAGAATGGGGGCTCTGGACATAGACGTTGGGAAAAGGTGTCTTCAGCCCCGGGCCCTGGCCTTTGGAAAGGTAATCCTCCATCACTTCTCAAGGAGGGTATGTGGGTCCCTCAAGGCCCTGAGATGGTTTACATATGGGAGTCCCCTGGGAACAGTTCTCAACCGATGGAAGGTGCCACAGGAGAAAAGATGTCTTTCATTCAGGCTGAATGTTGAAGAAGAAACTGAGGAGGTGGTCCAGGGGGGCAGCTAGCTTCTGAATTGTGATTTCTGCTTAAATTTTTAAGAAAATGCCACTCACCCAGACTGGAGCAGGCAAGGCCAGCTTCTAGAACCTTCTGCAGCCTGATGTATTTGCTACTTTATCACAACTATGTCCAAAACACTTCTGAGTCTAGAGTCTAGAGTATTTGGAGGGGGACCTTGATTCTGCCGCTGGGGGACACTAGAAGGTGGTCAGACCAGCAGAATCTAGGGCAGCTCCTCCTCCTAAGGCTGGGTGTATTGACAGGTGACAGGATGCTCCTTGCCAGCTCTGGAACAAACACTGGTCTTGGCTCGATTCAGGAGTTTTCCTCTGGAGAGCTTTTTGTGGTTCCTTTTAGCATGGCGACATGGTTACAGAAATAATACACACGGACCACCCACCTTGTGAGTGTTTGAATGCTCATTAAACTCCCAATGCTGCAAATTCACTCAGCCTTCCTAACAGCCATGTAGGGTGGGCGTTGTAATTCCTACCGTACAGAGTAAGACACCGAGGCATGGGGTATTTTCTTTGAGGTCACTGCTATTGGTAGCCATTTTCTCAAGGTCACTTTTATCAGTAGCAAAGTCAGGATTTGAACTCAAGAACCTTGATTTTGAATTCCCTCTCTGTGGAGCCTAGTGCGTGTGTCCCTGGGTCACTGTCTGTGGCCATGACACCCCAGTCTTACTTGGGCACACCCTTGGTGACATTTGGGTCACTCTGATAAAACATCAGTATGCCCAGTGTGATGGTTGATTGTCGTGGTCAATTTTGCTGGTTTTAGGATCACCTGGGAGATGACGCAGCATACTTTGCTCCCAGAGAGGGCTAGCCGAGGCGGGAAGACCCTGCATATGGGTGGCACCATCCCATGCACTGGGAACCCACATGGGATGGAAGGAGAAAGGACAAAGCCAGCCTGTAGTCAGCATTTCCCGTTCTCTTCCTGGCCTACCAAAATACGAGCAGCCGTACCTGACCACACCTTTCCC